AATAGTTGCTTAGAAGTTGTAGCTCAGAAGGCCCGCAAGTTAGGCCGGGGAACGTTGGAGTCCTCCCTTCACCTGCAAGCAAGCAAGCCTCCATGTTTGCTTCCAGCTGCCTGGCTGCCGGCCGCCATCTTGGCTGACCAGTTAATTTGCATATACTCACTGATTAGCCAATGAAAAAGGGTAGCGGTCGTACGCTAATTCCCATGTTTCTCTTTTATTAGTGTAGATATGCACAGCTCATGGATACAGACAATAGTGTGGTGAATGCCTGGGAGGGGTGGGTGCAGGGTGTAGGGTGGTCAATGGGAAAAAGGGGGGAATATTAGTAATACTTTTAACAATAAAGATAATTTTTTTTAAAAAAGATTATGTAGTGTAGAGAAAGGACTACTATTTTATACAGTGGCCAGCGAAGGCCCCTTTAGGGAGGTGATATTCAGCATGAGAAAAGAAAAAAGTGAGTCATTCAAATAACAGAAGGAAAACTTCCAAGAAGAAAACACAGCAAGATAGAAAGCCTGAGGTAGCAATAAGCTTGGCATATTTTAGAAATGGCAAGCAGACCAACATGAATACAAAGGCAAGTTAGAGAGGTAAGTAGAAATCAACTCATGTAGGGCTTGATAGTTAATACTAAAATTTTAGGAGGTATGTGTTAATGTGGTTAATGCAAAAAAAAGACATATGATCATATTAGGGGTGCCTTCTTCTCTCTAGAGCAGACTCTGAGTGTTTGGGGGAGAGACACTGCAGCAAAAGAAAAGGAGGCAAACAAAATAAGAGCATGGTAGCTCAAGCAAATGGTAAACCAAACTGTGAAGTAAGCAAAATGCGCGCACACACACACACACACACACGCACACGCACACGCACACGCACACGCACACACACACTCACATTCAGCTAGCAGGCCACAGTTTATTAATCCAATTATATAGCCACCTTGCAGAGTAGGTATTAATGTCTTATTAATTGAAAGTCTACAGTCTTTTGATTTTTTGCAACCTGTGTCCAAACACTAGTTTATTTATATTTCTTTTTTTAAAAAAATTCTGGGTTGTCTCAAAACTACCCTCAAACAATAGCAAACAAAAAGAAACCAGATCAGGCCTGGCTGGTGGGGCTCAGTTGGTTGGGTGGCGTCCTGAGCACCAGGAAATTGCTGGTTCAATTCTAGGTTAAGGGCACATACCCTGGGTTGAGGGCTCATCCCTGGTAGGGGACGTGCAGGAGGCAGCTCATAGATGTTGCATTCTCACATCAACGTCTCTCTCTTTCTCTGTCTTCAGAGAGAATTAAGGAGATCGCTCTCTCTGAAAAATCAATAAACTATCTTAAAAAAGAAAGAAACCAGATCAGTGGTACTACAAAGGAACCTCCCTAGGAGGCAGTTATGGAGAAAAAGTTGTAAGTACTTATATTTTAATCTTATGTTTTTAAACAAGTGTTATTATGAGCAAAATATTTCTTTTAGCCCAATACTTCTAAGTTTGGCAATAAATTCCACTTACCATTCATTTTCGTTTCTATGTTTTGTAGCTATGTCATTTAATAATTTATTTGCAAAGGCTCTTGCTTTCTTTGTTAGGCCTGTCTTCAAATCTTCACAATCCAAACGAACCATAGGGAAATGAACCCACTGAGGTAAAAGCATTATTTCTGAGGCAAGGTTGAAAAATTTTTCTATAAACTTAAAAAAAAACACACAAAAAAATGCTTAGCATTTTAAAATTCATCAGTGATTCTATATTACAGTATTGTGGTATAGTATTATGGTGGACTTCTTAATTATGTAATATAAATGTAAACTCATTTCTTTTTGCTAATTGATTAAATTTGTCCCTTTGTTGCATAAATCTTTTTTCACCTGTCCTTTCACTAAGGAATTTGCCAATCTACCAGTAAATATCCAATATGGTACCATTTATAACATCCCTATCTAAAAATTTCAAGCCCTGGCTCAGTTGGTTAGAGCGTTGTTCCAATACACCAAGGTTGTGGGTTCAATCCCAGTCAGGGCACATTCAAAAATCAACCAATGAAGGCATAGATAAGTGGAACAACAAATCGATGTTTCTTCTCTCAATATTCTCACATTCATTCTCTCATTCTCTCTCTCTCTCTCCCCCACTTCCGTTCCTCTTTCTCTAAAATCAATAAATTTAAAAAATTTAAAAATAAAAATTTTAAAAGTGAAATTTCTCTCACTAACTATTAAAAAAAAAACTTTTGCCAAAGTCAACTCATCTCTCTGTTTAGAAACAAATCTATATCATGTGGCAATTTGTGTAGCTAACAAATACTTGCTTGTGCCATACCTGATGCCTCACTGAAGATTCTAATGCAGTCTTCAGGAAACAAAGTATAAGGAATTTTTGGTTTTGATCAAAATAATCCAAAAAAGAAATATTGTGTTCTGCCATTACCAAAAATCCAACATAATGGAATTTATACAACTTCTTAATACCCAGACACTGGGATAATTTTTAAAAATTAAACAAAGTAGTACAAAGAAAACCTAACAAGTTATGTTGCATTTCGTGAAAGTGAAATATACCTACCAACTTTGGGCAACTTTGACTTAATTCCATATTCCATCTTTAATGTTGCCTCTCTACCTTCTTACCCCATCTCCATCCCCCACCAATTAAAGATATTTTCCCTGTACTTCTCTCTCTCTCAAGGCTACCCTATTTCTCTAGTCTCCATTCATTTTTGTTTCTACGGTTGAGCTTAAAATTTTCAGTGTTTAAGGGAGCTGAGAATAGTAATTAATTCAAAGACTATATTGAGCACCTGCCTGATTCTTGGTTGGAAACATAGCAAAGAGACTAGAAAGAGCTAATGGACACTGGAAAAGGGACAGATATTTTCTTATTCTCAAGTATCATCATCTAGTTTTTCTGGGTTGTAATTAACTGATATGAAAAAGAAAATTGGCTGGATCAAAGAAAATGTGGGACACTGGAAACACAAATGTCCATTTACAGTAGAAAAGATGGCATATCAATACAATGAAGTGCTATGCTATAATAAACTATGACTACATGCAAAATATAGTATACAAACTACAATTACAGTATGTCTAGAATTGACAAAGAAATGCAGGGATATATACTAAACCTAAAAGTAAATTTTAAATATATATTTTTATTCATTTCCTTCCTCTCTGAAATCAATAAAAATAAATATATATATATATATTTGAAAGACATTAAATAAATCAGATTTATATAGTGGAATACTACTCAGCAATAAAAGGAAGAAGTTACTGATAGACACAACAACATAGATAAATCTCAAAAACCTTACATTAATATAAGAAACCAGACACAAAAGAGTATGTATGTATGATTTCATTAGAAAAGAAAAACCTATAATTACTGAAAGTATGTCAGTAGTTGCCTAAGGTCAGGTTTAGGGAGAACTGACTGGGATGGCATATAAGGAAACTTTCTGAGGTGGTGAAAACATTTTATATCTTGACTCTTGTGATAGTTGCATTGGTGTATAAATTTGTCAGAACTCATTTAACTATACAGTTAAAATGGGTGCATTTTATTATATGTAAACCAACCTCAATGAAGCTGTTTTTTTAAAGTTAATAATTCTTGAAATTAATCAAGAACGGAAAAGGGAATGGATTGATGAATAAATATGTGATTAAGCTAACATAGTAAAATATTAGAATCTAGGTGGAACTCTTCATAAAATTTCTTCAACTTCTCTGTATGCTTAAATATTTCATAATAAAATGTTGAAAAATTAAAATGTCTATATTATACTTTATGAATAAAAACTAAACAGTCAATAGAGAGATGAAAAAACAAAAGCATACTTTCAACCAATAGAACAAGGTCCCCTCAAAAGGTAGAAATCTTTTCTCATTTAATTACTTTTTCCCCACTGCTTCTGGAATTATCATTCTGAAACTCTGATCCAAGTATATTACTTCAATGGCTAAAAACCTCCAAAACAAAGTACAAACTCCTAAGCAAATATACTTGAAGGTTTTCACCTATAGCTCCAACTTACATTTCCAACTTCATATTCTTTTTTTTTTCATTTATAAATGTACTAGAGGCCCAGTGCATGAATTCATGCACAGGTGGGGTCTGGCCAGGCCAACCCCAATAGGGGCAGATCAGGGCTGGGCCTGCCTGGGGAGGGGCTGCAGGGGGTTTGCCGGCTGGCCCCAACCCCGATTGGAGTGGGGGGCCAATTAGGGGTGGGGCTAGCTGAGGGGAGGGGGTGTGGGCTGATGGGGTGGGGAGGCCAATCAGGGACCAGGACAGCTGGGGAGAGGGGCGTGGGAGGTT